AGGTTAGGTTTTTTTTTTTTTTTTTTCTCAATTCATCTGCTGTTTTTTCTTTTACAGCACCTTTAAAAACTTTTTTTTTGTTCTGTTTTTGTACATGATTTTTTTTTTTTTTATATATATACATTTTTCAATTAAAATTACTACGATACATATTTGTCCTTATACAACTAATGATTTTGTATTCCGCAACATTATCTATTTGAAACTGTTTTTATTAGATTGCTTAACTAACTAATACTACCTTTATATACAATTATACTTCTTTAAGGTTTATCCTTCCTATTTGTTTTTTAATTTACTGTCAATTTAAACTAAAATTACACTGTGTATTCAATTTCATTATGGATGTAAACTTAACTATTGCATTTTACTATGTTATTATCCTTTACATATATTTTGATTTATTTTCTCTGAGAATCACTTTAGTGATTTGTATTGCGAATTTTAGAAAATGAAATCGACTGTCATTGCCGTTAATAGCTTTACATATGGTTTCCTCTTTTAGCACAAAGCCCACACTTTGCTCGCATGATAGTCTCTCATAAGCGAATTTCGGACAGTCCAAAAGGATATGCTCTATTGTTTGCGGTGTTTGACTATCGCAGCTACAGTAGGAGCTCTGTGCCAGTTTAAATCTATACAGGTATGATTTAAAGCCTCCATGGCCTGTCAATATTTGTGACACCAAATTATTTATTTTTATTTTAGACATGGTTTTATAGGTTTCTTTTATACAAGGGAAGAATCTTCTCGTTGTAGCTCCTGTGTTGGATGTGCTATACCTTTCTTGCCACCTTATTATTGAGTTGTCCCTGATTTGACGCTTTGCAAAGGACAGAGGGAAACAGTCGTAGGTTGGTGCTTGCTTAGAAGTCTCTGCTGCTAATTTCGCTAATTCATCGGCTCTTTCATTCCCTGGAATTCCACAATGAGCTTTAATCCAGAAAAGCTTCACATCGCCTTGATTATTTCGGATTTCTTGTATATTTTCTAGGATTTCAGCTCCCAGAGGATTAAGAGTGCTTGGATTTGACAGGCTTTCCAGTGCTGACAAAGAGTCGCTCAATATATTTGACTTCTTAAATCCACGTTTGCATCTCATGATACTGAGTGCCTTCAAGATTGCTACTAGTTCCGCCTGGTAAACACTGCAGTGATTACCTAATTTGATTTTAACCTTATGGGTTTCTTTGCCGTCTTCCCAGCAGCTTACAGCAGCCCCTACCTTGCCTGAGATTTTACTGCCATCAGTATAGATAGCGGGCCAGTTGTTTTCTATTGTATCCACTTCTTTTTCTGTGCTAATGCAATTGTATGTCTCTTTGACACGGAGTGCCGGATGTGGGAGGCTAAAGGGACTTACTGGTATGGCAAGCTTTCTCCCTGGTAGTTGGTCAATGGACTTTCCTCTTTTTATTTCATATATCTCTAGTTGTTCTTGAGCTCTTAAGTCTAATGGGATAATTCTTGCTAATGCGGCACAGGAAGTTAGCGAACATGTTCGGTGAGCTTTACAGATCATGATACAGAATATTCTCGTTATAGCATCAAGTCGTTTGCGTATCTGTATTCTCGATGCGTTATTTCCCCAACATGCTGCGGCATATAACATTGTAGGTTCTATTACAGTGATCCCCATTGTGCTCTGGCTGTTTTTGAAACTGTTTGTTTTTTTGTAGAGTTTAATTGCTTTTTTTGTGGTATCTTCTACATGTTTTACGAAGTTTAAGTTTTGGTCAATATTTAGACCGAGAATTTTCAGGTTTTCGCTAAATACAATCTTGGTGTCATTGAGTTTTAAGTTAGGCATCTCATATTTATATTTCTTTGAAATTAAAATAGCTTGCGTTTTATGTGCCGCAAAGCTCATTTTTCTGGAAAGTCCCCACATAGATATTCTCTTTAGCGCTGTATTGACTTTATTTTCTATAATTGATGTTGTCTTCCCGGTTCCTATTAATATAATATCGTCAGCATAAGCTTGGACATGTACATTCCAAGTCTCTGCTTCTTGAAGCAGGGAGTCCAGCAGGATATTCCACATTAGGGGTCCACAAATAGACCCTTGTATGCAACCCTTATTTGTGCTCTTACTGATCTCTGTGTTAGCGTACCTAAGTGTAATAGACCTTTCAGTGAGGTAGCTATCAATAAGTTTTAGGGTTGCATTATCAATATTCTTTTGTTGTAATTCAACAATCACTGCAGGCCACCAGGCGTTATCAAAAGCACCCTCAATATCAATAGAAACAATTACTGCCATCTCTTTGTTCTTTACGCATTTTTTGACAACTTCTAGTGCGTCGTACAACGCGTCCTCTGTCCCTCTCTGAGGAACAAACCCATACTGTCGATTACTCAATTTGTTTTCTCGACCTATCTGCCACGTTAGTCTAGTCACGAACAGTTTCTCAAGTACTTTTCCGAGTACTGGTAATAGGCCAATTGGACGGTAGGATTTTGCCAGAGTGTAATCGTCTCTGTTTGATTTTGGTATGATTCGAATAATTGCATTTTTCCAGATTTTCGGGAAGTAACCTAGCGTGAGGCATTTGTTAAATATCTTCAAGAGAAGGACGGGTTCAGCTAAATAGGTCTTATAGCATATGTCGGCAGTAAACCCGTCCCTACCTGGTGATTTTTTCGGACTCATATGCTTAAATATAGCCTCTACCTCGGTGGCAGTATATGGTATAATGTGATCGTATATTAAACTTTCTGTTAGTTCTCTTCTTATATTTTCTGCTTTTGTTCTTATTTCTTTGTGGTTAGAGTCGTCCGTTGAGGTATCGTCTGTTGGATAGAAAGTTGTAGCTAAAAGTTCGGCAGATTTCGTTGCAGACAAAATATCTGTAGATGAAGATACTCTTAGTAGGGAGTCGTCTCTAGTTTTAGAGTCCTTGCGGATCACCCTATATATGCTTTGCCACATATTCTCCCTATCTTGTCTCGTGCAAAATTGTTTCCAACTCTGGGTCATGGCGTCGTTTATGAGATTTTTGTATTCGCCTTTAGCCTGTATATATTCTTCAATTACGTAGGCTTTCCGTCTTGGATTAGCGTGTCTTATCCTTTTCCTTTTTCTGATTACTTCTTTTTTCTTTGTGTCTAGCTCTATGGTCCACCATGGTGTTTTTTTATGTATTCTCCTTGATAGTTCCGGAATAGCATTCTTACAAGCGGTATCTATGCATTCGTTGTATGTCTTAACGCACTGTTCTAGTAGTTGTGGAGTATCTATAGAATTTATATATTCTTCGGAAAGGTTTGAAGATTCGAGTTGGTTTCTTAATTTTGCTGTGAATATTTCCCAATTTGCATTCTTCGTGTTGTATATGCGTGTCGAGGTTCTTTGTTGTATTTCGTCAGTTGTTTTTAAAGTGTTAAGCTCAAAAGTAATTGCTCTATGATCAGATAGAGTAACGAGGTCAGGATCTACTTTCCAGCTTTTAACTTTCTTTAATAAATTTGATGTGCATGCGGTGACGTCAATGATACTTGTGTATTCTCTGTTGCCTCTGCAAGCATGGAATGTTGGTATGTGCCCCTCATTTAAGATGTGTAAATCCAGTTGGGCTAGAGTCTCAGTTACGGCTGCTCCCCGACTGTCCTCCGCATTGCAGCCCCACCAGGGACTCTTGGCGTTAAGGTCTCCTCCCAGTATGACGTGTTCGGTGTTCAGAATGTTGATAAAACTGGTAATTTTGCGTAGATCTTCTTCAATTTCAGCGGCTTCCTCAAGATATGCATTAACTAAAGTTACGGTTAATCTATTTATGCTAAATTTACATGCTACTATGTTCTCTGTAATAGTCTTTTGATTTATGCTATACTGTAAATTTGGGTTAACGACAATGACAGCCGATTTCACTGGTTTCTCTTTATTGTCAGTTTCTCTTTGTATTATACTGTATTTACATGTTACATGAGCTTTAGCTCCAATGTAAGGCTCTTGAACCAAAAGGATTGAGATCCCTTGTTGTTCAGCTGCCTGTAGACATTCTTGCATTGCGGCTCGCCCTCTGCCGAGATTTATTTGGGCGATTTTTATCCTTTTTGGAAACTCATTGTTGCCCTTAGCAGTATGATGTTAAGGATCTAGCAATTCTATCCCATCTTTTCCACTCAGGACATTCTGAGCTGTAAGCTGGATGAATGCATTCTTGGTGGTTTGAATTTTTATTGCTGCAGTTTATGCATTTTGGGGCTGCATTTCTATTGTGACACTCTTTGTGTCATGATATTCTGCACAATAGCCACAAAACGCCTTCTCTGATCTGCATTCATTTGCTCGATGAGAGAATCCAAGGCAGCGGTAACACTGCACCAGAGGAGATTGGTCGAGAGCTGGAACGATTTGGAAACCAAGTCTTAGTCTTTGGTCTTTAAGTTTGCACCATACTTGTGGACTTGTCTCCAAGATTATATTATTTGTAGAGCTAGTGCGACCTTTTACCCTTCTTGTGACTTTGACATATATTTGTGAGCTCGGTATTTCTCTTAGCAAGGAGCCATTCTGTTTGATAACAGCCTCTTCAATTTTCTTATCGTTTAGGTCGTTAACAACCCCTATTAACCGTAACAAAGGATTTTTAGTGGCAAGTCTTTGTACGGTTAATTTATCAGAACTGCTTCTGAGTTTTTCTTGCAGAACTTGTCTGTCGCTCTCAGACTCGCAGCTTATTAGAACCTTTTGTTGCTTACATTTTTTAATATGGTTCACTCCTATACCTAACTCAATTATGTCAATTCCGTTTTTAACTTGTTTTATTATGTCATCACTCGTATTCCTAGGATCGGCTGACTCTATCATAATTGAGTAGTTAGGTCTTGCCGTTACCTCTGAGTAAGAGCGAGAGGACTTGTTAGCGTGATCATGCATTTTTTTGTAAGCCTGGACGCTTCTGTATTTTCTTGGTGAGTGATGAATTTGCTCATCCTCATCATTAAGGGGATTCTCTTTGGCTGGTTGCCATCTTACTTCGTTGCGTAGTCCCTCTATAGCCATTCGGATGGGAGCGGCTGATTCCACAGTTGTGTCTTGCAGCTCCCTAGTTTCTCTTCGGAGTTCCTCTATGCTGGCTTGTACCGAAGTAATTAGGGAGTCTACAGGGTTCCTATTAGTATTTGTTGAATTCTCAGTGATTTTAGATACTTGATTTCGAAGGTCAATTATGTCTTCCTGAAGCTGCGATTTCATTTCTAAGACATATTGTCGCAGCTCCTGAGAGACACCTCGAACACAGGCCTCAAGATCCATTTCTTGTTCCGTTGATTCCCGAACCTTCTGATTACATTGTTCATCCCTGAGGGATTTTATCTCACGTAATGTACTGCGTATTTCATGTAATTCTTCAACGAAATGAAGAGGGATGGCGGGTTCTTTTGTCGTGGAGTAGCGCCGAGGTTCTAGACTTTCACGGAAAGTTCTTAGTTCTTCCAACACTATCTTTAGCTGGTTGGTAATGGAGCTAGACATTGATATATCCTGTTTAACCGTAGTAACCTCGCGTTTAGTTTCTGTTACCGCAGTACATAAGTCGTACGACAGAATCATTCTCATTGATTCCGTTTCTTTTTGTAGTTTTTCTATGAGATCCTTTAGTAAAGCATATTGACCCAGAGTCTCATGCATGAACCTAGCATGTCTCTGGGTTAGCCTCTCTGACTCTCGTGAGACATTAAGTTTCTGCTTATTAGCTTCGAGCATATGCAGCATCCTTGAGTCTGAAAGTTTAAGTACCATCTCATAAAGAGTATACAGGCCTGAAGTTACGCTTTCCCGTATCTCTCTCTTGAGATTTCCAGACTTTTCCAGCTCTGATTTTGTGCGCTGTAGTATCTCGTTTGCATGTCTCGGTAGTTCATTCAAGAACATTCTGCTGCCACTGATAGAGCGTGTCGAAGCGTCTAGAGAAGTATTGGTTTCTTTACTATCACAGTCGGAGTCAAGAGGATCTTCCGCCTCAGACAATCTTCTTGCAGCCTCTTGGACTTCTACTGATTTTGCCTGGCGTATCTGCGTTTTGATGCGAAGCAGACTTGATTCTGGTCTATTAAGCACAGGAGAAGACGTAACGGCCTCATCAAGATTAGGCAATGGGCTAGCTGCTTCTGGAGTTGAAGTTTCTGCCGAAATGAAGGCTGGCAATACCTGGTCACCAGGTTGTGCCGGCGTCTGCGTGGGGAATTCCGAAGTCGTGTGAGCTCTTAATTCAGGTACGCTCGCTCCCCCCACTAGCTATAGTTCCAGAAGGTTCTTTACTAGCCTTGGTGGAAGAAATATTGCCTTTCTTTTTGGATATTATTTGTTTGTCTGAGGAACTCGCAATCGATCTCTTTAATTTTTCAGACATGATGTTTCGAGCTATGAAAAACAAGAAATCCCTTTTCTATCAATGGTAGAGTCGACTCTATCTATAATCCCCTCTCCCTGTTTGGACTTAACTGATTGTAATAGAGAACGTAGAGAGGATATGTATACTGAAAACCGCGTTTTGATACGATGAGCCGTTCAGGAGTTATATTAGTTCAAAGTTTTCCAAGATGGCGGAAAAATATGGCCACAAAATTTATAAATTACGATAACTTGGAATCTATATGTCACAAAATAGTCGAGTTTGGGCTTATTCGGTTTGGCTTACGATCGTTTATCTGTCGGTGACCTTGGATAGGAACCAAATTTACAAGTTTGGAAATTGATTCAGACAGATTCTCCAAACCATTCCAAGATGTGTATTGAAAACCCCAACTTTCTACTGTACGCCGTTCCGGAGATATGAAATTTTTAAAATTTTTCAAAATGGCCGCTGTTCAAGGCAATAAATTACTATTTTCGCCGTTTCTAAACGGATTTGACCCGTGTTTGGGCTCGTTCAAAAGGTCTCGGTGTCGAGCTTACGTCTATATAAATCTTTTGGCTTTTTCAGCCCCCTTTAATTAAATTTTTTACAAAATATGATAAATTTTTTTAGAAAATTTGATTTTTAAAGTTAAATTATGTTTTTAAAATTCTACAAAAATTTGCATGTATTACTATCAGGACCCTTATATTAATTATGTATTTTATAATTTTCTAGTACTTATTTTAAGGGTAGCACATGTTAACTAAATATATTAAAAAATTTATAACTAAAAAACTACTCACTAGAAAAATCCGAAAATTTGTACATATATTCCTTTCGTACTTCTTAACACTATTTTAAAATAAAAATAAGGGGTCTCCACTTTATTTTTAAATTTATCGAGATGTCAATTTTTGTCAAATTTTATAAGTTCAATATCTCGTAAACCACTTAACTTAAAATTGTCCCGAAACTTGCTTCTGGCTCCTCTCCGCGGGTGCTACCGGAATCCGACTTGAAAAACAGCCGCACGACTCTGCTTCAAAAAACACGTGCCCACGTGGTACTTGTTTTTTTGGGTTTTTCTCGAAGACTGTGGCTCCGAGAAATCTCAATTCTTGCATATAGGTTGGGGCCGCGACTAGCTTTAAGGCCGCACTTTAAAAAACAGGGGTAAAGGCGACTAATCGCACAGCGTTTCACTTTGAAGTTTCCAAATTTCCTAAAAATCACTCTTTTCACTATATTTTTTTGAAACAATCTCCGATTTTCTTGCGGTTTTCACTACTTTAAGCAGCGCGTTAAAACACAACTTTTGATATATCACACATGAAAATCGGTTGCAAAAAACCTATTTTTCCGAATTTTTAAGCGCGGAGCGAATTTAAAACGTGGCGTTCGGGACGGCAATGACATGAAGGTTAGGTTAGGTTAGGTTAGGTTAGGTTAGGTTAGGTTAGGTTAGGTTAGGTTAGGTTAGGTTAGGTTAGGTTAGGTTAGGTTAGGTTAGGTTAGGTTAGGTTAGGTTAGGTTAGGTTAGGTTAGGTTAGGTTAGGTTAGGTTAGGTTAGGTTAGGTTAGGTTAGGTTAGGTTAGGTTAGGTTAGGTTAGGTTAGGTTAGGTTAGGTTAGGTTAGGTTAGGTTAGGTTAGGTTAGGTTAGGTTAGGTTAGGTTAGGTTAGGTTAGGTTTTTTTTTTTTCCTATTGTAACTGCTGCTGTTTATTTTGCAGCATCTTTTCTTCTTTACTTTTTTTTTAATTCTTTATACATATTTTTTTTTCTTATTTTATTTTGTGTTATTAATTTGTCGTGCCAATGACCGTCGTTTACGTCTCTTCTGTTCATGTTTCTCTACTTGTTAATCGAGTAATTTCATGCATCCGCCATTCCATTCATTAACTCTTTTAACTACATTTTTAGCGTACCTTACAAAAAGATCTCTTTTGACGTCGTCACTTACAAATAATTTATAATTATTACTTTTTATTTTTGTTCCTAATTTTTGTTCCACTTCCCATCTCCAGGAATCAAAAATTTGACATTCGTCTAGTATGTGGGTAATAGTTTGGATACTCGTTCTATCACACTTACATACTGCTGTGTCTTTCAATTTAAATCTGTGAAGATATTCACCGAACCCACCATGTCCTGTGAATATTTGCGTTAGTAAGTTTGTTGTTTTTAATTTCAACAGTATTTTATGGCTTCGACGAACATCATCAAAGAATAGCTTGGTTATCGCTCCTGCTTCTTCTTTCATGTATCGCTGTTGCCATTCCGCTATTGTTATATTTCTAAGGGACCACTTGACAAAGGAAACTGGGACTTTATCATACACAGGTGCAGTTTTCTTATGTAAAGCTGCCTTTTTGGCCAATTCGTCGGCTCGCTCATTGCCGTCTAGTCCAGAGTGGGCTTTTATCCAAAACAGTTGTATTTGTCCTCCATTTTCGTGTATCTCAGATATTTTTTTATTAATTTCTACTACAATCGGATGGGTATTATGCGGATTGCAGACAGATTCCAGTGCAGACCTCGAGTCGCTTAATACTTGCGTTCTTTTTAACTGTGTTTTGCGAATTGTAAGATCAACAGCTCGAAGTATTGCTGCTAATTCAGCCTGGAATACAGAGCAGTGGTTATCCAGCTTAAAGTTTGAATTTAATTTTTCTTTACCGTTCTCATACCACACAACAGCCGCTCCCACCTTACCTTCTATCTTACTACCATCTGTAAACAATTGTGGTAAATGCATTCCAATTTCTTTTAGGTCTTCTTCTTTATAAACTTCCTTAAACGACAAAGGCTGTCTTTTTGGAGGTGAAGGTAAATTAAACACACTGACTTGACTTTCTATAGGCCTATCGAGGAGAATATCCAGGGGCTTTCCTCTTTTAGCTCTGTGAAATTCAGCCGTTTCCCTTACTCTTAAATCTAAAGGGAGAATCTTACCCAAAAGCGTACTTGCTACACAGGAAGTAGTTTTATGCGCCTTTGCAATACGTAATGCGAACATTCTCGTTATGCGGTCCAATTTCAATTTAATATATTTTTTATCAATAACTTGATCCCAGGAACTTGCTGCATATAAAATAATTGGTTCAATTACTGCTATATAAATGATTCTTAATATTTCACTATTAAGTCCCCATGTAGATTTAGCGGCTCTAGTAATGCTTTTGTATATATTTGTTACTTTTTGTATTGTCCTGTCCAAATGTTTGTTAAAATTCAAGTTACTATCGATTGTTAATCCTAAAACTGTAATATCACTTCCTATATTAAGTGTTGTGTTATTTAGTACAAAAGTTGGTGTATCATATTTTAGCTTCTTCGTTACTATTATTACTTTTGTCTTGTGGGCAGCAAATTTCATTTTATTTCGTACACTCCATTCTGATATTTTTAATAAAGCTTCGTTAGTTTTTCTTTCTAATTCTCTAGCTGTATCTGCCTCCGCAATTAACAATATATCATCTGCAAAGGCCTGGATGTGCGCTTCTAATGAATCCGCTGTTTTTAACAAAGGGTCAAGCTGGATATTCCACATCAGTGGTCCACACGTGGATCCTTGAATGCATCCTTTATTAGTTGGCTTAGTGATCTTTGTACCGGCGTAGTGTACTTCAACAGAGCGCTCGTTAAGGTAACTGAAAATGGTTGCTAATATATATGGATCACACTTATTTTCAAAGAGTTGCTTTTTAATAACAGGCCACCAGGCGTTGTCAAATGCCCCTTCGATATCTAGAGAAATGACAGCTATAATTTTTCGTTTCTTAAGTTTATCTCTTATCAAAGTGACAGCATCATACAATGCATCTTCGGTACTAGTCTGGGGCATAAATCCGTATTGTCTTGTGCTTAATTTGTTAGTGTTTCCTAGAAACCAAGTTAATCTATTTGTTATCATTTTTTCAAGTACCTTCCCCATTACCGGGAGTAAGCCAATAGGTCTGTACGCCTTGGGGCTTGTGTAGTTGTCCTTACCCGGTTTTCTTACAATACGTATGATTGCAATTTTCCAAATTTTAGGAAAGTATCCTATGAATAAACATCTGTTCATTAATTCCAAAATTAGTTCTGCAGCGGTCTTAATACTGGCGTTGCATATGTCTGCCGTAAATCCGTCCAGGCCAGGCGCTTTGGATGGTCTAATATTTTCAATAACCGTACTAATTTCATAGGTTGTGAAGGGTGTGAATTCTGTAGACTGTTTTATCATTTTTATTTGACTTTCTATTGTGTTTGTGTCCTCTCGTATTCTTGTATGGTATTCTGTGTCGTTGTCAATATTATCAGCTGGATAAAATGTGTTAGCCAAAAGATCTGCGGATTGAAATGGGTCTAATATATTTCCGTCTGAATCTTTTAGCATCTCTTCATTAAGATGAAAATCGGTGAGCTTGGATATTCTATAGAATTTGTCCCACATAGTCTCTCGTGATTGTCCTGTGCAGTATTCTTTCCAACTATTTGTTTTCGTCCTTAATATGGTTTCTTTGTAATCAGATAACGCTCTTAAGTAATCATCTATAATATAAGGTTTTCTGTTCTCGTTGGCATGTCGTATTTTGCGTCTTAGCCTTATAACTTTCTTCTTCTTTAGGTCTAGTTCGTTGTTCCACCATTTGATCTTCTTGATGAATTTGGTATTTGTTAGTTTGGGCATAGATTTATCACAGGCTTTAGTTATGCATTTATTTAATTTTAATATAGCGTCTTCGAGATATTTTCCAGTCTGTATGTGTGTCACTTCTTTCGTATTTAATCCTTCATTTTCCAAATTTGTTATAAGTTCTTTATTAAATCTATTCCAGTCGGCCTTAGTGGAATTGTAAATCCTGGTAGATTTTCTAATCCCCTTCCTTGTTTCTTCAGGACCTATGCATATGTCAAAAGTTATTGCTCTATGATCTGAGGTGGTGACTATGTTTGGGTTGACTGTCCAGTTCAGTATCTTAGTCATAGTAGGTACAGAGCAAACTGTTATATCTACTATGCTCTTGCATTCTGCTCCCTGTCTTATGGTATAGAATGTAGGAGTACGGCCTTCATTAATAATTTCCAAACTTGCTTCAGCAAGGAACTCCGAGAGCAATATTCCTCTGGCATCCTCATTGTCACATCCCCACCATTGACTATTACAGTTGCAGTCGCCTCCAATAATGATAAAAGGTGTATTCATATTTTTAATAATAGTATTCAATTGCTGTATGTAATTTTCGATGTTTTCATAGTCTTCCCAGTATATCGAGATCAATCCTATATTATTATTTTTATTTACAATAATAACACCTACTGTATTTTCTGTGATAAATTTACTATCTTCGATTATTAATATATTGGGGTCAATGACAACAACAGCAGACTTTACAGGCTTAGATCGATTATCTATTTTCTGAATTGTTTTGTATGATATATTCACATTACCCGATGCACCTACATACGGTTCTTGGAGAAGTGCAATAGATGTTTTATTTCTTGTAGCGTTTTGTAAGCACTCCTGTGTAGCTACGAGACCCCTACCAAGGTTACACTGCAGAACTTTAAGTAATGTGTTATCAGAAGAGACTACCGCGTCGAACTTAACAGTAAGCTATTAAGGATCTCGCTATCCGATCCCATCTTTTCCATTCCGGGCATGTAGCGCTATATGCTGTATGGGATACGTCATCAAATTTTTTAGATCTGCAGTTGACGCATGTTGAGTTTTTATTTCTATTTGGGCATTCCCGAGTATCATGATTCAATGCACAAAATCCACATTTGGGTTCCTCCGCTCTGCATTCCACGGCTCTGTGACCAAATCCCATACACCGGTAACATTGGATAATCGGGGATTGGTCCACCACTAATACTATTTGGTACCCAATATGCAGCTTTTGATTCCTTAGTGCTTTCCAAATAGGGGGGACTTACTTCTAATATAATATTAGTAATTTCCTTTGTGCGACCCTTTGTCCGCCTTAGTACTTTTAGCCTTTTTTCGCTTGGTTTTATGTCGGATAGTAGTTTAGAGTTCTGTTTAAATACCGCATCTGCAATTTTACTATTGTCCAGATCGTTTATTACTCCGACTAATTTAAGCAAAGGCTGTTTAGATACTGTTTTCGCAGCGGTTAATTTTTGGTCCGAGTTCTTTATTGCCTCCTGCAGTTTGCTTCTGTCATCCTCGCTATCACAAGATATAATAATTTTTTGATTTTTGATTTTTCTAACGTTGTTCACTCCTAATCCAAGCTCCACAACATCAACATGGCTCTTGACTGTTTTTGCCACGTCATCACTAGTGTGTCTGGGGTCAGCGGATTCTACGATTAGAGCAAAGTGAGGCCTCGCCAACACCTCTGCATAAGAGCGCGTGGGAGCCCCAGGTGGTGTAGACTCTTTTATTATATCTGCCTTTCGGTCAGTTTTTTTGCTTATAATACCCTCAGCAATGTTGGTGGCGGGTGTGTTTGTCGATGTTGCTGTCCCGCAGCATTGATTCAGGATTTCGCTTAACTTTTCCCTTATTTCTACCATAATGAGCTCGGCACCGATACCAGGATTTCCTTGGCAAGCTATTTGACTCAGTTCCAGTTCTTTTATGTCGTTCAGTTCAATAATCATTTTATTGATTTGTTGAGTTAGTGTGTCGGTTATTATTTTTGTTTGTTCACTTTGTACCTCTTCAGTTTGTTTTATGACATTAGGTCTGCTCTGTAATTCTTTGATTAAATGCTTTGTTTCTGTGACAAGAATTGAAATTGAGTTCAACTGTGACTCTAAAAAGCTATTTTTATATTCCAGGACTTGTGGCTGAGTGACGTGGGTCTGCTCTCTGTTCATTATTCGCTCAAATTCTGAATGAAGGTCTTTAATATGTTGTATAGCTTCATAAGCTTGAGATGAAATATTTGTCAGCTTCTCTTCTATTTCGTATCCATTCCCATTGGCTTTATCGGTAGCTGGTTCTAGAATAGGTTTTGCATTTGATATATGTAGCTCCTTTTGTATATTTTGAATCGTTTTTAGTGCTCCATCCATTTCAAAATTAAGCCAACCACGGATAGCCTCAACAGCTTTATTTGTCTCTTGGATGGCTTCGTATGCTTCGTTAAGCTTGTGCGTATATTTTGTATGTAGTTCTGTTAATTGTTTATTATGAGCTCTTTCGACTCTTACCAGTTCTTTGGCTGCTCTACTGCGCTCTTGTTCCAAAGACAAGCGGTGCCGGGATCTCGAATCAGAGAGTGAGAGGGCGATCTCATACATTCCTTGCAAACATTCATGTACCTCAGTTTTGCACTCTCGCTTCATATTCCCAGCCTTTTCAAGTGCTTCCTTCCCTGTGAGCAAAAAATCGTTTGCTCTTTGTGTAGCTAGATCCATTGATATGCCTGCTCGTCTGTATGCCGGGGGTAAAATGCTTGATCGCTTGCTACAGCCGCTAACCACACTATCCAAGTCAGACCATTCATCATCAGTTCGCGTGATTATTAGTTTATCTATACCTAAAATATCTAGTTCAGCCTCCATATCCATAGTTGCTGAACTGTTGTCATCTGGGTCTGCGTTTTCTGCTTGTGTTTCCTGGGTAATTACGGATGGTTTTGAAATTGTCGGCGAAGATTGTACCATAAAAGTAAGTTCACTTTCAAAATTGGGAGTGCGCACGTCTACGAATGATTGAGCCATAGGTTCTTCTTTTTGTGTAGATGCCGCATTTTGCATAAGCACTTTTTTTCTTAGGGTTGTACTAGGAGTTGAACTTGGTCCCTTCGTTTGCTTTGCTTTAGACGTTTTAAATAAAGTACTTTTTGAAGACATTTTACGGAATATACAAAGTCCAAAAGTCCTAATTTATATAAATTACTATTGTAGGGGTAGCACACGTTAACTAAAAAATATTAAAAATTTTATAACTAAAAAACTGCTCACTAGAAAAATCCAAAAATTTGTACATATATTCCTAATGTTCTTCTTGACACTATTTGAAAATAAAAATAACGGGTCGTCACTTTATTTTTAAATTTATTGAGATATCAATTTTTATCAAATTTTATAAGTTCAATATCTCGTAAACCACTTAACTTAAAATTGTCCTGAAACTTGCTCCCGGCTCCTCTCCGTGCGGACTACTAAAATCCAACTTCAAAAATAGCCGCACGACTCTGCTTCACCAAACACGTGCCCACGTGGCACTTGTTTTTTTGGGTTTTTCTCGAAGACTGTGGCTCCGAGAAATCTCAATTTTTGCACATGGGTGGGGGCCGCACTTTAAAAAATAGGGGTAAAGGCGATTAATCGCACAGCGTTTCACTTTGAAGTTTTTAAAATTTTTGAAAATCACTATTTTCACTATATCTTTTTCACAAAAACTCCGATTTTCTTGCTGTTTTCACTAATTTAAACCGCGAGTCAAAACGCAACTTTTGACATATCACACGCGAAAATCGGATGCAAAAAACCTATTATTCCGAATTTTTAAGCGCGGAGCGACTTAAAAACGTGGCGTTCGAGACGACGATTGACACCGGACTCTCGACTCGACTTTGGGGTAGGGGGTTGAAACTATGTCCAAATGATCCGGTGGGGGTTGAAGACTATCCGGCTTCTGGATAGTGTGGGGGGGGGTGACGGGGGGGGGGGGCGAAGGAAAATTTTGTCAGAATTGAGCTAGGAGGCTCCGTTTTCCTGTAAACTGAAAACACAGTTATCGTGCAGTTTGCAGGACCTCCCAGCTCTTAGAATTAAATTTATATTTCAAAACTTATGGGCTCAAAAATTTTGAAAAAATTTTGGTATGTTGAGGATTAAATTTTCTTTTCAAAAATGTATTTAAAAAAATTTACGCGATAAAAAATTATTGAGTTTTTTAATTTTGAAAATGAAGTACCATAAACCAACAACCGCAAAAAGCGTATAACTCAAAAAATAATATCTGAAAAATTTTGAAAAAAATTTGATATGATTATAGTATATTATAGAAAATTTTTGTAATTTTTTCAGAATTTTCAGTAGTGTTTTCAGCCTAGCACGTGTTAACATATAAAACAAAATTTAATTTAAAAATAATAATTACGCTCTAAATACTTAAAAAATTTTATGTCGTTCTGTAGGCCTTGGGTTCTTTCTTCCTATGATGACTGAAAATATATATGTCCTCGCTGAAAATCTTGAAATTTCCTCCTTTGAAAATTTTTGATGAAAAACTTAAATTTTAAACCTCGATTACACCTCTGTTTTTCATCCAATTTTAACGTTCAAGGTGTCGTTTGTTTTGTCTTTTTATACACTATTTAAAGGCGTCGTCAATTTCAGCCGCACAATCGTCGATCAGAAAACACGTGTCCACGTGGTTTTGTTTTTCTTGCTATATTTTCACGAGTGGGTGTTGGAAAATCCAGCAAATATTGCAGGGGCCTGAAGCTTGCCAAGGCGCTTCTTTTGACACTTTGAAATCACTATGTCACTGATCTTATTTTGACAGCGTTCAACTTTAAAGTTTTCTAGGTTAGGAAATTACAGTTTTTCCGTAATAACTTTGTAATTTCCACACTTTTCACTTTTCTTTTTACGTCACTGTATTCGTCTCAATGAGACGCGTCGTTTGGTATATAACACTATATGATCGGGTCACTTTGACCAAACACTTGAATATTTGATCGCGGAGCGGTTCAAAAACGCTGCGTACGGGACGGCTTTTAGAGCGCAACTCGGTTAGGTTAGGTTAGGTTAGGTTAGGTTAGGTTAGGTTAGGTTAGGTTAGGTTAGGTTAGGTTAGGTTAGGTTAGGTTAGGTTAGGTTAGGTTAGGTTAGGTTAGGTTAGGTTAGGTTAGGTTAGGTTAGGTTAGGTTAGGTTAGGTTAGGTTAGGTTAGGTTAGGTTAGGTTAGGTTAGGTTAGGTTAGGTTAGGTTAGGTTAGGTTAGGTTAGGTTAGGTTTTTTTTTTTTTCTTATTAATTTAAAAATATCCTCCGACATGTTGATCGGAGACCTTATGTAGCTGATTGCTTTTTTATATATTTATGTTTATTTTAATTTTTCATTATTTTTATATAGCTTTTTTTTTTTCTCTTTTTTTTTTCTTTTTTTTTCTGTGTTCTATGAACTACGTTTTTTGTTTTTTCAATATCAGGTGCTTTTCGGTACTTTGATTTTTTGTTTAAGTATATTTTTGTTGTTACTTTTCCTTTTTTATCGATTACAAATGTGGTTAATTCTTATTTTATTAATTCTTTTTTTTTTTTTTACTATTCTACACTATTTCTAATTAAATTCTCTTGTTTTTTTTTTTCTTATTATGTTGCATACTTATTTTATATTATATTAGGACATATGTACTCATATGTCTAATTATATAGTTTTCTTACTCTCTTGTTTTTTTTTTTTTTTGTCCTTTTTTTACCAAGGTTTTTTTTTTTATTGTACTTTTTGTTTGATGTATCTTATTCTATATTCTAAATTAATTTTATCTTGTTCTTGTTTAGGTACTTTTATTAGTTTTTATGATTTTATTTGCTACGGTTATACAATATTTTGTGAAAATGTTTCTGCCGCGTTTGTCTTCCATTATGTTATGTATATTTTCTTTTGCTAATTTTAATCCTATCTGCAGTTCCACGTCTGCTCTATTTTTGCAAAATTGAGGGCAGTCTATAATTATGTGCAGAGAAGATTGGGGTTGGTTGTTATCACACGTACAGTCTGGTCTAGATTTTATTTTAAAACGGAACAAATAATCTGCAAAGCCTCCATGACCGGTGAAAACTTGTACTAATATTGGCGTTAAATTAATTTGTTTTAGGATGCGATATGCTGCTTCTACGTCTGGAAAAAATACTTTTGTAATTTCGGCTTTTTCTTCTGTTAAATATCTCTTATGCCATTCCTTAATTGTTTTATGTCTAATTTGGTTCTTTATGAACGAAATCGGACATTTTGCGTAATTTAATTTTGTTTTTAATTTTAAAGCTGCTTCCTTTGCGAGTTCATCTGCGCGTTCATTTCCGGGAATACCTACATGTGCTTTAACCCAATACAGCCCTATCCTCCTGTTTTGACTTCTTAATTTAGCGATATCTCGCCTAATTTCGAAAGCCAACGGTTGATATGCTGATTGATTTTTGACAAGTTCCAGTGCAGATCTTGAATCACTGTATATGTAAGTACTTTGGTAATTCTTTGCTTTTTTGAATAGCTTGATGCATTGCGTACAGTTCAGCCTGAAAGACAGTGCAGAATGAATCTAATTTGAATTTTTTATTATCTCTTTCTTGTTTATTTCTCCAAATAGAGATTGCAGCTCCAACCTTGCCCTCAATTTTACTTCCATCGGTGAATATTTGTATGCTGTTTGTATGTGGTTCCTCTAATTTTTCTGATGTTGTATTCTCTATTATTTCAAAGTCAATTTCTTCTTCGCAGGCTGGATGCATCATTTCTAAAAAACTTACTTTTCCTTCGATCTCTCTGTCTTTAAGTAGGTTAGCATCTGGTTTACCGCGTTTTGCTTCATACAAATATGCAGCTTCGCGTAACCTTAAATCTAAAGGTAGTAGTCCTGAGAGTATCAATGCTGCGTTTAGTGAGACCGTGCGATATGATTTACAAATTTTTTGTGCAAATCCCCTCTGCACTGCGTTTAGCTGGTTTTTGATTGCTATTTTGTGGGCAGCTGGTGCCCAAACGCTTGCGGCATACATTATAACCGGTTCAATAACTGATACGTAAATCGTTCTGATCACCTCGGGTTTAAGCCCCCATGAAATTTTTGCTGCACGAGCCAGTAATTTATAAATATTTATGGATTTTTGACAAATATAGGAAACATGACTATTAAGTTTCAATTTTTTATCGATGATTAGGCCTAATATTTTTATCTCATCTACTAGTTTTATTTCTTTACCTCCCATGAACAATTGCGGGGTTTCATACTTCAATTTATTTGTTACTATCATACCATAAGTTTTTTGTGGGGCAAATTTTAATTTATTTTTTGATCCCCATTCATATATGTGTGAAAGAGTTTCATCTACATTTATTTTAATATCGCTTGTCACGTGACCTGAGAAGATCAGAACGATATCGTCGGCGAAGGCTTGGCAATACACTCCACGCTCTTCTAGTTCATTTAGCAACGGATCCAATAGCAAATTCCAAAATATGGGACCACCAATCGAGCCTTGAATGCACCCTTTTGTATTATTTTTTGTAAATTCTTCGTTCGCATATCTAACTGTAACTTTCCTATCTGTAAAATAACTATTTACTAATCTACGTAGATTCACAGGACACTTTATCTCCATCAGTCTATTTTTAATAGCAGGCCACCACGCGCTGTCGAAGGCCCCCTCTATGTCTAAGGATATTACAATACTTATTTCCTTATTTCTCAGATTGTTCTTGATGTGTAATATCAAGTCATAGAGGGAGTCCTCCGTACAGCGCTGTGGGACGAACCCATACTGACGGGGATTTAATTTTGGCAAAATGTAATATTTTAGTCTTCTCACCATCATCTTTTCTAGGATCTTACCCATGACAGAGAGGAGCCCTATCGGCCTATATGATTTCGCGAGAGAGTAATCCGTTTTTCCCGGTTTTCTAAGTGCTAACACAGTAGCTTCCTTCCATGGATCCGGAAAGTATGATAATTCTAAGCACTTGTTCAACAAGGCTAAGAATATCTGCTTATCAACGTTTATCGCCGCGGCACAGATGTCCGCTGTGAGGCCATCTGAACCTGGCGCCTTCCTTGGATGGAAGCTGCTGGTAGCAAATTGTAATTCGGTTGCTGTAAATGGAACATCCCAAATATCATCTGTAGTTTGAGTGCACATTCTGTTAGCTTTCATTCGTGTATGATATTGTTCTGGTATTTCGTTTTCCAAATTGTCATCGAGGAAAAATGTCTCCGCCATATGTTTCACTGATTCCTCTGCATCCAACGATTTACCTTCCCTAATTAACAGTATGTCCTCGTGTCTTTTTGATGTTTTCCTGATTACTCTATAGATCCCGTCCCATAGACTTTCCCTATCCTGCTTACCGCAAAACTTTTTCCAACTGTTGATTTGTGCTTGTGCTACTTCTTCTTCATATTTATTTTTTATCTCCAAATATTGTTCTACTACGTAGCGCCGACGGCGAGAGGCAGCATACGATATTCTTCTTTTCTTCACTGTCATTTCTTTTTTTTAACTTATTAAGCTCTTCTGTCCACCACGGTATAGTAATTTTATTTCTAGTTTTAATTTTTGGGATATTCGAATCACTTGCTTCCTTAACACATTCTATATATGTATTAATTGTAGTTTTTAGTTTTTCCTTTGATTTTAGTTCTGTTATCTCTTCTTCACTAATATTTTTCATTTTAAGTGTTTCACATAGTTTATTTTTAAAATCTGTCCATTTCGCCCTTTTAGTATTATATATTCTAGTACTTTTAAAATTATTATTTTCCTTAGGTTTTAATAATGCTAGTTTAAATGTTATACAGTTGTGGTCAGAACTTATAATAGCTTTATTTACTCTCCAATCCTTCACTTTACTTAATAAATTTTCGCTACTGATTGTTACGTCTACTATACTCTGATAGATATTCCCACCCCTAATAGTATCAAATGTGGGTTCATTTCCTTCATTTAATATGTGCATACCTGTATCCTCTATCATTCCTGCCAATTCCTCTCCCCTATGATCTTCCCTAGCACTTCCCCACCACGTACTCCATGCATTGAAATCACCTCCTATTAGTACGTATTTTGTTTTTAGTTTTTCAATGATAGTTTTCAGTTGTGCGAGATAGGGTTCGATAGGTAAACTGTCCTCAAAATAGACCGATATGACTCCTAATTCCCACTTATTCGTTTTTAATTGAGCCACTGCTATATTCTCCGTTACGAGTGTTGGATCCTCTATGACATTAATATTTTGATCAAAAACTATTACTGCTGCCTTTACAGGTTTAGTTCTGTTTCTTGTACACTGAATTACTTTTGTCCCTTTTTCCTGTTTAAGTTCCCCTAATGCTCCAATATATGGTTCCTGTACCAAAGCGATATTAATTTTTCTTTGTTCTGCTTCTATCATTAACTCTTTAGTTGCTAATTTCTTCCTCTGGAGATTTGCTTGTATAATACGGTAGTCCTGTGGATTTCTTAATGATTCTTCATCACTGGTGGTCCCATAATTCGTTGTATCGATTTCAGCAATACGCTACACTCGATCTCGCAATCGCGTCCCATTTCCTTCGGATAGGGCAACTGTCGTCAAATGCATTGTGGTCTGCCCTTTCGCTTTTTGCGTGCAAACAATTGCGACATGTCGGTGGTTCTTTTACTGCCCATAATGGACAGTCGTCCTTAACATGGGGTCCGGCACAATGGCTGCATAAATCCTGTGTCTCTTTACAGAATTTCTTTCCGTGACCGTACCCCAGACACCGCGTACACTGTACCAACGGTGATTGGTCTCTTACTATTACACGTTGCAAGTCAATGTGGACTTTTTCCACTGTTGTCAGTCTCTGCCACACTTTTGGGGATACTTGAATTACAACATGATTAATATGCGGATTCCTAGCTTTTTTCCGATATTTAATTGCTGCTCTGTATTGATCATCTGGTATATCGGATAGGAGTTGCTTATTCTGGTTTTTCAGAGCTGCTAGAATATCTTCGTCTTTATTTAAAGATAGAACATCTCTCATAATTATCAGAAGGTCTTTATTCTCGACTTCTTGTACTAGCAATTTTGAGGATGCTCTTTTGATTCTTTCCGCAATTTTTTGAACTTCGTCATGTGTCTGGCATCCCACTATTACCTTTTGATCCCTGGCCTTCCGTAGTTTATCCACTCTCAACCCAGTGATTTTAGCGTCAATTGCTGTTCTAATTTTATTTATTATATCTCCGCTAGTGTCTTGTTCTTCTTCAGACGATACCAGAACTGAGTGCATTGGAGCTATCATTTTACTGTTTATTTTGGCCTTAGGTCGACCAGCTATGCTGGCATATGTGGGTTCATTTGTTTCGCTTATAACCAAAGACTCTCGAAGTCCACCCATTTGGTCTTTTAGGGATGATAATTCTTCTTTTATTTCCATCAGTTCCCTTCTGGTATCCTCCGATTTGCCCATAAAAGTATGTTTATCCAATAAGGTGTCATTGCCCATCGTGTGCTTCAATGAGTCCGTTAGGGTTCTCATATCACTCACTGTTTCGGTGAGAGCAGACTGAATATCTCTTATACTACCCTGATCCATTAGTGCTCTAAGGCTCTCTACATACTGTTTTTCTTGCCTAAGTAAATCGTCTTTAAGTTGTATACGAGCTTTCTCCAATTGTAGGAGTAGAGTCTGCCTTTCTTCGTTTAACTGTAATACGATTCCAAAGAGTTCAGAAAGGTTATTTACCACCGTCTCTTTTATGGAAGTCTTTAAGTTTCCAGACTGCTCTAGCTGCAACTTAGCGTCCTGATATAATCTATTGGCCTTAGACATCGCTGTTACAGCTATTTCTAGTACATCGGATTTCCGAGTGTGTATTTCTTTTGGTTTCTCTTTGGTTGCAATATTCTGTAAAGTGGGACGTTTCCGCTGCTCTTCGGACCTATTTACGATACCTGGCACTGAACTCATTTTAATTTTTTGTAAATAAGAGACTTTTGTAAATTTATATATATGAATCTACCTTAGTAATGAAAACAGGTTGGGTGGGAGGTCGAAATTTTGCTAATTTCTACGTTTATTGTTGCAGATTTTGGCTGATACGGCGGTAGTGGAGTAAGGTGGACCTGATAGGAGCAAAAACGGAAGAGATTTGTAAAATTTTAATATAGACGAAAAATTTTGATATATTACGTTTCTCAAAAACAATAATTTTTAATTTAAATTAGAAATATCGCCCGAAATGGCTTGAAAACACAGTAAACTAATAAGACTAAACTAATTAAATATTTCAGGGCAGCCAGGGAATTTTTTCGGTTAGGTTAGGTTAGGTTAGGTTAGGTTAGGTTAGGTTAGGTTAGGTTAGGTTAGGTTAGGTTAGGTTAGGTTAGGTTAGGTTAGGTTAGGTTAGTTAGGTTAGGTTAGGTTAGGTTAGGTTAGGTTAGGTTAGGTTAGGTTAGGTTAGGTTAGGTTAGGTTAGGTTAGGTTAGGTTAGGTTAG